GGTCCAGCTCGCTGCCCGTCCCGCCGCCTGCTGCTTCAGCTGGGAGCAGGCAGGCGTTGAAGGGGACGGCAGCGCCAGGGAGCCTGGAGGGAACAAAGGAGGGAGCTTCCTTCAGCCCTTTGTCCTCCCTGCGCTGCGCCGCCCCCATCTCCCTCCAGCCTTTCGCGGAGCGATACTGGGGTGGAGGCAAATGCTCGTGTGGCCCCAAGCTGAGACGGGAGTTACCAGTACGGGGAAAAGAGTGGAACAGCGCTTGCTGCTCGCCCTACCGTAGGGGATGAGGATAGAGCCGGGACCCGGGTGGATAACGCTCATCCACAGACAGTGGAAGGGCTTGGACACAAGGAATGTGCCAATACACAGAGAAAAGGCGGTAATCTTCAGCCCTCAAGGGACAGGGATCCCGAAGGTTTTGCAAGAGGGCAGAGCAATAAATGGAACGTTTAATGCAATGGGAAAATGTTAAGTTAGCAGAACAGTTTAATGAGGCTTTTTTGAGGCTTTGCTGTGTGCCTTTAAAAACAAGTGAACTGGGTGGGAAATTACAGAACTGCAGCAATATGCAAACCGCTTGTGTGAATGTCTGCTTTTAAAAAAAGTAAATTGTGCTTAAGATGAATGGAAGATCTTTACCTGGAGGCAAACTCAGTTCTGATGTGAAGGGCAAAGCAAAAGCATTCATTGCTGCTTCTAATCGCTCTGGTTATTTTCTAGGTTCTGGATGTAGGAAATATGAGTGACTGGCAGAGGAAAAGCCCTCTAGACTGGGAAATGTATGTGAACAAAATGGTGAAAGTTGCTGCAATTGAGAAACATGAATATGAAGGATGGGTCTTAACAGTTGATCCAGTTTCTGCCAGGTAAGTATCAAAGCTTTTGTTTCTGTAAAGCTAAGAGAAAACAAGTTTCTCAGGAAGAGAGAAGATCCCAAGACTGAAGCAAACTTATCTGGAGCAAAAAACGCATGTTGGGGCTGTGTCCTGTTTTTTTAATTGGCAAGGCCTAAGAGAAAGCACTATTGTAGTTGATGAGGCCAGTTCACCTAAATCCATTTTAATCTCATTGGACTGATAAGTTTGGGGAACAAATAATATCTGG